TGACAAGAAGGACTTTTATTGTAAACAAAACTTTTACCTACTACTCAAGTCCTAATTTTTAGCGATTATCTACACAGATTTATATCAACCTATGGTTATGCACACATACAATTAAAAGTTTTAGTAATTTCTTTCCTAGCATGATTCCAATATATTATCGATACTTTAAGAAAGGTGATATTCAAATTATACTAGAAGATTATCTGTCCAAATCCAATCTTATTTAACATCATGACTGTACTATAACAAATATAAGGAATGTGTCAATAATAACCATCCATTTCAACTCACTGCAAAGTCACAGGATTCTGAAATTACTATGATTGGCTGATTTTGTCTGAATTCTATCATCACATTCTTTAAAAATACTGTATTAATTTTTCGCCAATGATTTTTAACATCGTATTACATTTCTCATATAGCTGTGATTCCTCTGCACTTTGCGTCTTAACATATTTAACGTTGCCTGAATCTTTCTAAACACAAGCAGTCGTAACTCTGCCTGAAAGACTCTGCAACTGCACTTTATTCATTTCTTTAATGCTCATTTAATATTTCTTTGACTTATACTTTACTCAATGTTTATATCCTCTTCCGTCACTCCCGTTTAAATTACAAATTTTTCACTTTTTGAAAACTTTAATTTTTCACTTCGTTTATATTTCATTTCATAGTTTACACGTTTTTCTAACTTTTGAGTAAATAAATAAGAAATATCGAAAGGAGATTAGTGTCATGTTTTGGTAACTCCCGTTTTTACTAAGGATTTGACAGAACAATATTCATCCATAATGGACTGGCATGTATATACTAATGGTGGGGTGTGTTAAGAAAGGGAATGAGGGTTAAACTTGTTTCATGAGTTCTTCAACTTTCTCCTTAAATATGTTACATCAAAAACTTATAAGAACCTTCATAATCAAATACATTTCTCTGAACCTTCTTTGAATAAGATAGTAAGAATACATTAGGTGACTGGTATGTCAATGTTTGTTTATATATTGCGATTGAATAACTTTTTCCTAATTTATAGACAAACTTTTGTCATGTACATGTAATTATCATATTTTCAAAACAGAAATCTTAACCTTTCAAAAATCAAAAATCAAAATTTTAATGCCATTTTTTAACAAATATATAATTAAATTCTTTTGTGAAATTAACTGTTGTATTTTTTAAAGGTTTACTTACATTCGACATCATTTGAGAATATTACACTTGCAGGTTGTGTCTACGTTAATCACTTTAAAATCTCCTTTGTACACTTTACATTTTAGATGTATTGAACAATTTCAGACAAATCTTAATTACTTTAGAACTTTAAGAATCTGGTGAAACAAGCATAGAACTTTAAGACATATTCGAAACGTTAATAACCCTTTAAAACAAATAAGGTATATATAGAATCTGGAAACAAAAACAATTTGTTCAGAAATTAAATAATAAAATGAATGTTAAGAATATGTTCAAAAAATTGAATAATGATTAAGAATGTTCAGAATATGCTAAGAAAATAAAATAGTAATTAAGAATGTTCAGAATATGTTCAATGGTAAATGACCAAAAATAAACTGACAACGTCATGACAAAAAAGAAAAAAGAACAAAACACAAACAACAGTATACAAAACACAACATTGAAAACTAAGGAGGGGGAAACACGAACCCGACATAAAATTGTTGGTGATCTAAGGTGCTGAATTGTAAGAGACCTGGCACCCGTCAGTAAATATTTTAGTCATTGTAATTTGATGTTTCTCATTTCTCATTTCTTCCGTCTAACTCATAATAACACTCAGACTCAAACGTATTTGACAAGGCAAACTATCATTATCTCTCCTCGGTATTGCTTGGTTATATATTCTAAGTAGGATATCTGTTATTAAAAGAGAGTCGAAAGATACTAAAGGGACATTCAAACTCACAAGTCGAAAACCAACTGAAAAAGACTTGGTAAAAAAAAAAAGAAAAAAAAAGACCAAGGGTTTCTGTTTTTAGTGTTTAGTATGAGAGAATAAAACTGCGGTTTTTTTTTTAGATCCCCGTATATCACAAATCTGTTCTTTCTACCTAAACAAAAGAGTTAGAATATAAACGATCATATATTTTGTATTTAACAGCATACATGTTGTTTCTGCATTTTGAAATTGTGATTACATTTATTTGATATCTAAACATTTAATCCAAAATTTTCGTCAAATCAACATCACTGGTATTTAATGAAACAAAATTGAGAATGGAAATGGGGAATGTGTCAAAGAGACAACAACCCGACCATAGAGCAGACAACAGCCGAAGGCTACCAATGGGTCTTCAATGCAGCGAGAAACTCCCGCACCCGGAGGCGTCTTTTAGCTGGCCCCTAAATAAATATGTATACTAGTTCAGTGATAATGGACGTCATACTAAACTCCAAATTATACACAAGAAACTAAAATAAAAAATGATACAAGACTAACAAAGGCCAGAGGCTCCTGACTTGGGACAGGCGCAAAAATGCGGCTGGGTTAAACATGTTTTTTGAGATCACAACCCTCCCCCTATACCTCTAGCCAATGTAGAAAAAACAAACGCACAACAGTACGCACAGTAAAACTCAGTTTAAGAGAAGTCCGAGACCGATGTCAGAATAGGAAACAAAAGAAAATAAACAAAATGACAATAATACATAAATAACAACAGACTACTAGCAGTTACTGACAAGCCAGCTCCAGACCTCAATTAAACTTATTGAAAGACTATATCTTCGTCATATGAATATCAGGCACAATCCCTCCTGTTAGGGATTTAGTATTATACCATCATAAAATATATGAGAAGAACATAAACCATGTCATGCCAACAACTGGTTTTAGAATAAATATGTTTAATTCCGATACAAAGACCCTATAAGTGAATCAATATTAAAGCCAAAATATGCAATCTTTAATGACCTGACAACAGTATCTTAACTATATTCCTTCTTAATAAGTCTGTTTAAAGGTTTTGTTAGCTATTGTGGTGAATACTGACATTTTTGTGCTTTGTAAATAATATTACCATAAAAGATTGGATGTGAAATACCCGAACGTATAAGATGTCTGCATGTTGAGTTATATTTACGAATGATGTTCTTATACCGATGATAAAATTTAGTAAATATTTTGACTAGTTTATATCAAAAACCCTGGTGTAATAATGTTTCAGTAATACATAAATTTTTCTCGCTAAAATCTAATACGTTGTTACATACACGAGCGAATCGTACAAGTTGAGATATATATAAAACACCATAAGATGGTGACAAGGGAACGTCACCATCTAAAAATGAATAATTAACGATTGGAAATGAAAAATCATCTCTTGTATCATAAATTTTTGTATTAAGCTTCCCGTTAATGATATAGATATCAAGATCGAGGAAAGGACAGTGGTCATTGTTAGTATTAGCTTTATTTAAAGTAAGTTCAACAGGATAAATTTCTTTAGTATACATACTGAAGTCGTCATTATTGAGAGCCAATATATCATCCAAATATCTAAAAGTATTGTTAAATTTTTGTATCAGATGTTGTTTCGATGGGTCTTTGCTGATTTTAGTCATAAATTGTAACTCATAACAATACAAAAAAAGGTCCGCAATAAGTGGTGCACAGTTAGTCCCCATTGGAATTCCGATAACTTGACGATATACGGAATCTCCAAAAAATGACCTAAAAGAGTTTGAACATATGTATTCGCATTCCGACTTTTTAAATGACCATTTAATAAGGTGTGTGAATATTTTCTTAATAAGAATATGAGGCAAAGTGGATAAGAGGGTAGAAAAATCAAAACTTTGAACAGATTCAAAATCACCAATATATGCATGCAATTTATCAAGTACTTCCAACGAGTTTTTGACGAGTTTTCCAACGAGGCTATGACTGAGAACTAACTTGGCATATCTATATTAGAACAAATAAACTAAGAACACTTCTTTCATATGAGCAAATTATTGTTTATGAAGGATACTAAAAACCCACACTTGTCAATGTCATATGTAGTTTATCCACCTGAAAGGAATTTTTAAGAATTCGATGATATCGAAATACGTATGCAATTAAAATTTAATTCACTTTCGAAAAAAAATCTTTCATTAAGTAAACGTGTAGAATCTTTATTCAGAGAAAAAGTAAAACGAAAAGTGGTAACGGAAAAAATGAGGTTGCGTAGCTAGGATAACAAGAACAATCAAAAACTTTCGCTTTTGAAAAAAAGGAAACTATACTTTGGTATTGTTGAAAAATGAAAGCAAATTATCGTTTTAGTTAGAGTGCATACACATGTGTTATTTGTTTTTCAATTTTAGATACAAATTTAGTGTATACCAACATGCCTTTAATTTATGAAATTAATCCAAAGTAAGGTGTTAAATAATGCAAAAACAAGGATCAAAAACATATCGTGATTAACGGGTTAATGTTTTATTATAGTTCAGATTAAATAAACTTGATTTAATTCAAGAAGTTTTTTTTTTCAAGAACTGAAACATGCCTTCTTTGTACAAAGAAGTAACATGCTAAATCAACAAAACCTTCTTTCAACAATAGATATTTTTCAAACAAGTTCATGTCATGTTCTTGGTAAAGGTTGTGAAAAACTAGTGCACAACACAAAAATCACACATTTAAGCAAACTGAACTATAATCAAACACATAATGGTTCTTAAGGTAAATGCACACAAATGTATTGGTAATATATAATAGTTATCAAAGGTTCCAGGATCATAATTCAATACGCCAGACGTGCGTTTCGTCTACATAAGATTCATCAGTGACGCTCTGAATTAAGTCTTAATTCAAATTAAGTCAAATTTGAAGACCTTTATAGAATGCAAAACTGCCTGAAAGTAAATACTTAACACTTGAACACTTCATATGATGTATTTTGTTATTTGAATGTCAAAAATGTCATTTTTTTTTAGCAATTTTATGACACAAATAAAAGACAAAATGACAATATTTTCTTTGTACACTTTATTATGCTATATGATGAAAGTCCTAATCAATTCAAATTAAATATACTGTTTTGCGAAACAGTTTAATTATAAAGAGCAATATTGCATATTATTTGAATAAACGATAATAATTTATTTTAAACAAACTGTGTACAGACTTTTTAATGAAAATAAAACTTGATAACCCTTTTTTTCATTAATTTAAGTCATCATGCTACACTGCAACAGTTATTTAAAACCAAAAAAACCCACTTCCATGAACACCATTCACTGAAACTTAGTAATATGCGTCTCCCAAAGAGTTGAAATTCCACCCTGATCGTCCATAATCTGCAATTATCATGTTTCCGCTTTTAACTCACGCCACTACTTTTAAATTCGTCATTTGAATCTGAAAAGGAAAACAATTACTGTTACTTTTCTTTGTCCAAATTGTGATATCTTTATTTTATTTAAATTACTCTCATACGTTAATGTGTATCTAAGCCGAGGCGTATTTCAGTGTTTGACATTTTAGAGTATAAGTTTTATCTTGTCTCATAACTGATTATATGGAAAACTGTCTTTTTATTCGTAGTTTCATTCATTCAAATTGTCCTTTGCATATACAATGTATTGGGGTTACGCACCTTAGGAGAGGTCGATTTAAGGGGTTTAGCATTTTCTATGTTGGGGTAATGCATAAACACTTGAAAGGAGTTAGTTCTCAACCAACTACGCTTTCACCTTTTTCTTACTTCGATAAAGACTTATCGGTTTTCTATGGATTATTTTGTTCATCAGAAACTCATTCTTTTTTCAGTTTTTTTTTTGTATGATTGTGTTAGAAAAGTATGTGCATTTTATTTTTTGTTTCATTCATCGAGTCTATATCAGAAAGTTGGTGGAAATACTCATCATAGATACTAGGATTTAAATTGTGTACGCCAGACTCGCTTTTCGTTTATAAAAGACTCACCAGTGACGCTCGAATCAACAATTTAAAAAGCCGAATTACAGTACGTAGTTTAAGACCGTTGAAGACAAAACATCTGACAGGTTTTGCCAAATAAAGCTAACGGTTTGTAAACAGTTAGTTTATAAGTATGACCATACCAATGATAATTCATGTCAACACCGAAGTGCTGACTACTGGACTGGTGATTCACTCAGGGAGCTAACCTCCAGCAGCAGTGACATCGACTCAGTAGTAGTAAATAAACTCGTCATAGATACCAGGGTTGAAACTGTGTACGCTCGAAAAGGCAAAATACAGTAAGAATATGAAAAGGGTTGAAGAACCAAAATTCCGTAAGGTTTGCCAACTAAAGCTAAGGTAATCTATATATTCTTGTGGTAGAAAATCCTTAGTATTTCGAAGATATTCGACGTTTTGCAAACGGTTAATTTATATTAAATAAAACTTTAAAAGTTAAAATGACATATTTTAAGTTGAAAACATATCCCTAAAGACCGGGTCTGGGGAATAAATAGCAGCCAGTAAGAAAAATGAAGGGATATTCGTATATCTTTGCAGGCTTGATGATTAAGAAGCATTTTTATATTTTACTAAATAAATTATATAAATTTTAAATAATATTGTTCTCATAAGTGCAGAACGAACTACATGCAAAAATATAGGTTAAACAGAATAATTTAATAGATTAGTTTTTATATAATTTTCAGATAAAATTCCGAAGGTGGTCAATGTTTTGAATTTCAAATTGTTGACTCACTTGAGGCAGAGCCTCCTTATTTTTTTGGCAAAGATAACAGGATGCTCATGCTACAGCCTAAAAATATGTTAAAAACCCTACCTTTTTTGCTGATTACAGACAAGATACAGTCCTCACATAGATCCAAGAATATTTGCAACTAGATTAAGTCCTTTAGAAGTGCAATGGACCTCCTCAGAATATTTGTATTATAAAGAAATTTTTAAAAGATGTTGGAAAATGTGTTAATTGACTTAATGGTAAAGTTCACTGATTCAATTTGTATAGTAGAAACTATTCACACATGTGGCCGATGTACGGTACATTTGATAAATAGGGGAACCAAGATCTCACTAATTCAATGATACATTTTGGCACCAAGTCTCGCCTATGATAAACATAGTTCCTTCTTCTTGGATCTTGACGGATCTATATATCTAGGATTCTACCATACATTTCTAAGGAAACGATGTCTATTAAACATGCATTGTACTGTTTGTTACAAAACGCAATACGTTTATCCTGATATATATTTATAACGTTGTTGAAATTTTACAACAAGAAATGGGTCTTTTCCTAAAACATTATCCGGATGATACTGAAAAATGTTGGTATTTTAAAGTACTCAAAGTAATAGTTTTTTAGCCACATGATCAATCAAAACTATCCTTGATGGTTCATAATGTTTTTCATATCTACATCTAGAGGAAGGATCACACGATGAATGCCTGTTTTTGTAATGGTCAATTTCATACGGAATTATTGATGACTTTAATTTCTCAGGATCATTGTTCCATTTTCTGATTGCCCATTGAATAGGTTCCACTTTATTACTTAGTTTAAAGGATCACGTTTCAGATTCCAGAAGCAACTTTTTCAGAGCTGTTTTTACTACTTTAACACAATGCCATGAATCGTTTGATTAATTGCATCAGTTTCTTCCCGAATGCATTTGTTAGTATCTAAATTCTATGGACACCTACGGAAACATCCTTTTCAGCTAAATATGTATACACCCCATCGGTAACGATACGTTCATGCCTTTGAGACACAACATCGTCAATGGAATAAAAAATGTTAACAGGGACTTCACTTTAATTTCAAATTCGCGAAATCCTAGAACGCCTTGAAGCGTGATAGGCATAAAAGTTTTGACAATACTGCATTTTCAAGGAAACAAACAAGAGGAAATATTAGAAATCGCACATTTAATGTTTGAATTTCTTTTCTTTTTTTCTTTTTCTTTTAATAACTTGAAGATTTTAAGTGTTTATTTATACCTATTGTCAGTGTGGATTTAAGAAATAGAACTGTATTGAGTGAATGGTTAGTATTAATCTCGTTCCCACTTGATTGATTAGCCATGTGCTCTAACCATAAACAAACTATTTTAACACAGATTATGATTAAACACTGGCAAGCTCTGGCTCATTTTTCCACATTGGCTTAATCACTTAACACCTGGTAAATTAAAAGATCAGACTAAGTCTTTAAATTCGGTCTATATTGTGAATGAAAGCGTAACTAGAGAATATATAATAATAAGGGGATGTGGCATGATTGCCATTGAGACAACTCTCCACCTGAGACAACATGACATAGAAGTTAACAATTATAGGTCAGCACACGGCCCTCAAAAATGATCAAAACCAATCTTTGATTTTGGTGTGTAGCTGACTTCTTTTTCTTTATCGAAAATAATATAATGGACATAGCGAGATAGTTTTTTAGAAAAGCTCGTTTTATTGACTGATAGTTGATATACCTTTCGTTTTTCGACTTATAGAACGAGGTTGAGAAAAAGAATAATTCAAGATTGCTATAATGATGGCACACTTTTAGTATAAGTACTAACACCATACATAATATAAAAGTTCTACTCATATAAATTGTGAACCCTATGGTGAACGGGCGGACGGACGGGCGAATGGGGTACATAAAATGCCTCCGATATTTGTTTAGGTAGCATAAAAACATATTTCACTATATCATAATGTTCTATTTTATAAGGCACTTTTTTTCCCTGAAATGAATGCAAGAAGTTTAAAGGTTTAAATTAATACTTGTACGTACTAAAAGACTGAAATGTGTTACTGTTAACATCTGACTACTAGTAATGGTCTGATTAGGTGATATTTATATTTGATATATACTTGTTTCATATATACTTATAATACTTACTAACTTTCTGATTTTAGGGACCACCCAATCGTAACTAAAACTACAAATTAGCAGTTAAAAATTATTTGTCCTTCTTGCATCAGTCAGGCGGTATCTTAATGTTTTTGTATTTTTTTTGTCGTTTATAAACCAGTTACTTTCACATTTATGTATACTCTATATCTACTTTTATTCGCATATAGACATTTAGCAACGCTTTAGATGTGTTAACATGCATGTATATTTGCCATACAAAATCTTTGTATGACGGCAAATTACTCCCAAAGAACCTATTTAGACGCGCATATGAGAAGCATACCTCTCCGAATTATATGCACATGTGTTAATTCCTTATGAGTCGATTTTGTCTCCCCCTTTGGAAATGGTGTTTGTTTCTTCATTTGTACTTGTACATCATGTCCACCCCAAAACATGAAAATAAACCTTTCCTGAAGACCCAAGTGTAAAATAACATAATTCAAAACAAAAATGTTTAGATATCCGTTTCTTCTGCCCATATTTTGTCCGTTTCCCATCTTATTCGGTGTTCAAGACCTTGCAGCTCCTACTCAGACTTTGTAAAACGTCACCAGTGTCTGAGCACAAAGTTCATGAACCAGGCGTATGTCAAAGAACGTCTCGTCCTATTTCTAAAAAAAGTTATTTGGAAGGTACCAAGACCTTGTTGATAAATATTCCGTATCAACTTCACAAATAATACACGATGGTCTTGAAGTATTGATTCTGCGTACAGACGTTGTTTATCATCTTAATATTCTTTTATTTGTCTTTATGAATATTATTTTAACGGTTAAAAATCCGTTTTTGTTGATATCCATTTGACGTGACTATGTACTTATGTATCCCGTCATACTTTGAACGACAAAATTATTTTATATCTACCTGTGTGACGTAAAACGCGCGATTCAACGCCAGTACTTAAAACCTTCCATCCTTTATGGATGGCTTTTACATAGATAAATAAAATCGTATAATAAAAAAGCAAAATGAGGATGTTAAATTTCTTTGTTACATTTATTTTTTTTTTATAGTGATTAAGATGATAACACAATGTAGACTGCTGTACCCCTATTTTTGACATTTTTACCTATTGTGTCTGTTTGTTTTGTTCATGCATCGTTGTCAATATAATGGAATTTGATGCTGCGACTGTCATACAAGTGAGAGTTTAGCTAGCTATAAAACCAGGTTCAACCCACCATTTTCTACATAAGAAAATGCCTGTACTAAGTCAGGAATATGACATTTGTTATCCATTCGTTTGATGTGTTTGAGGTTTTGATTTTGCCATTTGATTAGGGACTTTCCTTTTTAAATTTTCCTTGTAGTTCAGTATTTTTGTGATTTTACTTTTTCCTAGATTTACATTAGTCAAAGCACTAAATGTCCATTCATTTAGACAAAAAAAAAATGAAAGATTCGTACATGATAATGACAAATGACAAACCATTTTTGATTAGATAGAAGAATCATCGATGAACAATAACTGTTTGAAATTATGTAACATTGATTGAACACTTTACTGTTAATGTATTACCTCCTAGTATAATGCAACGGAATTGCTTACACATGCTATCGGTATAGAATTATTTACTGATGTAAGAAAATGGCTGAATCCGTTGCGGTAAAGCCATTTTCCACCAGGAACAGATCTATTAACTATTGTTACATTTATGTATGATTAATTTCTATGTATTCCTTCTACCATTGTGGACGGTAATAGCATATACCACGTATGAATAATCAATTGTAATCGTTAAAGCTCAAGGTAAAGTTGATTAGAAACTGTCCAGAATTTGTTAAACTTTGCTTACAACTTGTAAATGTATACGTTAGTCAGATGAAAAAATACAAAAATAGTCGAAATAACCGTAACGTCGTCGCATAGTAGAGCCATTAAACGTCTGTTTGTAGACGTTTTTTTACCAATAGATTGGTTAAAAATAAGATATGAAGTCGGTAAACCTATCATTATTGTATGTCAATAAAACGTTAATGAACAAAACAATAACATATCAATTTTAAAAAAAATCTATATATTGGTTTAGAGATTTGATGAGTCTTATTTTTGTGGCACTTTATTCATGCATGTAACGTGGCATCATCATTGATCAATCTATTTCATAAACTTTTATGAATATTTGATTTCAACTTCGTATTTGATTTGGCCTTCCAACGCTTTTAATTGGGTATACCGCTATCATGGATTGTGAAATAGCAGTACACAATCAGTCTAGTCTTTGCTTATAAATGAAAATGTTTAAACAGTTTAACAATGTTCCCATTTTTTCACTAAGGTAAGGGGGGTGTTTTGAATAAAACACTTGCAACCGGGTGTTTTTGAACATTTCTAACCGGGTTTGTTTACTGTGGGTGGGACTGGGGGTCACAAATAGAAAGATTTGTATTGTATTCACATTTATTTGAATTGAACAAAAATAAATAGAGGTATTCATAAAAACTGTCAAATATTCTTTTTTTATTTGATTTTTTTTCAATTATTTATCTCTTTTTTTCTCTTCCTAAAATCACTATTTTATGCATCAGCATTGCCGGTTTTGTGCATCACGGATAGCAGATGGCTTTTGCAGGACTACCTCCTCTTGCGAATGCATGGCCTTTCGATCCAAGTTTCTGTCCTGTTCTTCGCTTTAGTGCTGTATTTTTGGCACACAGAACAGTAATATCCTTCTTCTGTGACGATTAATCATTTTAAGTCTTGTTGTCCATATTTGTATTCGCTTGCGTGCCTTTTCCCGTTGTTTTGATGCTTTTTTTCAATTTCAACAATTTCAACACAACTATCCGTTTTATCTGACTTATTTGGCATAGAATTTTCTTTATCACCATCGTCATCTGCCTTTCTCTTCCTCCAATTGATAAAAGAAAACATTGAAATTTGACGGTCGGCCATATTTGTCAATGAAAACAAATCAGGGAGGGGCGATAAGTATTCACACTTTTACGGTGCGGAACCGAAAAAAATCCGGAATTTGAAAAAAAGCGGACCACTTCCTAATATGGACAGGTAGTCGGCTTTCAAAAGAAGGTGGTCGGCACACCCGGCTTAAATGCCGAATGGAAAACACTGAATTGTTTGTCAATTTGTAGGACTATTTATTTGAAAACTATGGGATTTTTTTGGCATTATTTGTACTGTTTTAGCAAAGACAGAATACTTGTTTTTGTTCTAATCAATTTTTCAACTTCACCATATAAGGGGATAACCCTAACATCATAATTTTTTATAAAGGATGTTATTGAAATTTTCATTTTTTACTTGTACCACGAAAGCAAGCTGGGTGACACCGTTTTTTCTTTTTATTTTCTTAAAGTATATTATATAACCTGTCTTCTCATATTTTTTTTTTAAAATCTATTGCATTTATTTCGGTTTATAAGAAAAAAAAAGTTGTTTTTTTTCATTAATAATCTAAAAAATTAATAAATTCGGCAAATTTGCACGACTTGTCACTTGAAAAATTTCTAGGTGATCCATACTTTATATTATATTTTTGAAAAAAAAACATGGTAAAATTTACATTTTGGAAACGAATATGAAAATTATATCTGACGAAATATATGCAGGTGATGTACCTTAATGTGGACCAATGCACTAAGTAGGTACCAAATTTTCAGCCTGGTATCTTTGATCAATTTTAGCATGCTACAGTTGTATGCAAAATCTTATACAAACTTCTTTGACTTGTCCTATTTACTGTTACTTGACCAACAGATAAGAACGTGAACTCTTGCTATCTTATTTGCTGAATTTGCCTTTCCATCAGCAACACGTTTATATTCCAATCGGTGTGTTATGACTTACTAACTTTTGTCAACAGAAAATTGGTAAGCGTCAAGCTAATTTGATAGTTAAAGAAAATCATTACCATTTTGGACTTTCTATCTTTCAAATTGGCCACATCAGTATGGGTGTACTTTCGTTGACATATTCACCTGTCACAATTTTACACGATTTGTTTTAGGAGGTCTTGCATATGTTTCCATTAATATATGGAACCCACTTTACCTTACCTGACTTCTGCATATGGACCACAGCTATTGTATTGCATAATATTATTTATTTATTTCCCTAACATAAAGGTTATTCAATTTTGTTTCTCAAAGGAATAATATAAATGCAACATGATGGCCATTAAAATAATTAAGAATATACCGAAAAGTTATGTGACCTAACTATTATCTATATTATGCCAGGTATCAAGAGGTTTGAATAAGAATGACTTTAATGTATCGAATTTATTACCAAAAGCAAGAGCTCAAAAGCATTGTGTAATACTCAATTAGAGCTATTTTCCTGATGCTAGTAGTTTAAAGGTATGGTTGGTATGCTGGCTTTGTTTGTATAAATGTTTGCTCCAGCATTGTAATTAAGATTGAGGAAAATAGCTCTAAATCGTAAATATCAATTGATAGCTGAAATATATAAGTGTCTAATAAACATTTCAAGGATGTTATTGGTAGATCTATTTGCACCTTTTACTTCAGGATACACAAAGATACGTTATCATACCTTCTCTTTCGATATTTGTCTAAAATTAAAATTTGATCTAAATAATTCAAAATGTTAAAATTATATAGCAATTATTTTTGAAAGTTTGATACACCATGTAAACGCAATTCTCATTTAAAGAAGACAGAAACAAAATGGGCTCTGAGATCAAATTGTTCAACATAAGAGTTCGAGTTAAAAGTAGTAAAGTAGAATAAAAAAAAATATTCTCCTTTAGAAAATATTGTCAATTTGACAAAGAAATGTAATAATTGGTATACATATTATCACCGTGCTTGTTTTAGGCTATATTATTTGAGAAGTTGTTATGTTTTAAAACGACTATAGACTATAAATGCTACATCATCTAAAAGAACAACTAAAAACTAGATATTGAATGTGTATAGAAGGTTCTTATATTGCTTTCTGAAAATTAATAGAAAAAAAATTTGGTCACCAGATCCTCCTCTTACGAAACATTATAGATACATTACTATACAATGATTTCTAGAGATAAATCGCTAGACTTACTTTTGTATTATTAAGAACGTTTTAACAAAAGTATACAGTACAATTATAAAACAAAAATTCGATTGGATATCAATTGCATGTATGAAGTCCTTTGCTATTGTACTATCATACTGATATGTGTCTTATTGATTGGTAAAATGGCTGATGATATATTTATTTGTTCCAGTAGCAACCTAAATTCGACTGCATTATGATCCTTTTGATTAGATTATTTCAAGAATATTGCAATTCATCACTTCGTTATAAGGTCTGGTACGACGATTCGGGACTGTCCTGACCGATAAATGATCAACATATTTGATGACTAACTTTCAATTTATACATTTATGTTTCCAGTTCAATATGTTCGAAAGAAACAAACAACAACAATGGTTGTAAGGAAAACGACGTCGATAAAAAATAGCAGTACTGAAACTATTAAATATTCACATGTTAAATGTAATTTAAAGTACCCTCAAAAATAAGTTTTTATAATATCTTAATTAACAATTTTATATTATTTAAGATGTTTAACTCATTCAATACGACACATTTGCGTCACATATGCTTTAGATACATTGTTTGAGGATGTGAAATACCAATCTGAAATGTATGCGATATCACGATGCATTTACAGATGTGCTTGTATAATCAATGTAATTCTTCAAAATAGGCACTAAACTCAAGATAATGACGTAGTTTACTACACTTATAACATAAATGTCCTTTCAAAAACTATGATGTCACATGGTCTGCCAAACGCTCACTTATTAAAAACCTGGCTACAATATTACTTTGAAACAACTTAATCAAGAGACGGTATGTATTACACTAAATTAGTGTGATGGCTTTCGTTGTTATGTTCTCCTTTTTTTATTTTGACTTTGGTCTTGCCGGGTCATCTTTTTCATTTTGTAGCTATCTTTTGCATGCAAAATGTATTGAAACTTTATTAGTAAACTATTAAATGAACCATGAAGTCAATGAATCTATAGTACGGTAACGTATTCTGTTAAATTAAATTATTCATCTACTCGTCATAAAGTAAGGACAGCTTAAATATGATAACTGACAAAAGTTAAATACGTTTGGGACTGAAATAATGAAAAACATAGGAAAAACTTACTCAGTAGAACTGTGTAAGATTCAATGTATCCGTACATGTTTTGAATTCGAACACATATGGTACATCCTGCATACTCTGGGTATATACTAGATAATATTATGAAACTTCTGGTAGCGGATGTAATATGGTTGAATAATCGTACAGGTTTTGCAGTTGAGCAAGCTTTGTACCAAATCACTACTGGGGATGGGTACGCAATGAAGTGAACGTCAAATCTGCGAAAAACGAAAAAAGAATTATTAAAGATTATACTCAAGAAAAACAAATCTATCCAACGTCAATACTAAATTGTTTGTCATACATCAATTATCTAAAATAGTATTTAGTCATTTGACTGGCGACACACAGTATTTCATATATTGTGTTTTACTGTCCTTTCGCAGTTGTTTATCAAATTAATTTTTTTATAATTGTCTCTTTAATCTATACCATATTCATTGTAACCAATCTCACCATGTGGTAACAACTCATCAAAGATACCAGGCTTATAATTTGATCTGAAATCTATGTACTTAAAGCATTCCTTCGAAAAATTTTGGGATATTTTGAAGACGATACCCCACAAAGGGCAAAAGCATTACAGCAACAGCTGATTTCAAAGGACTAGAAGTCTATAACAGTGATTATATAATTTGGAAACGATATGATTACAAAACGTCGACACAATGACCAACGGACAAAACAGAAAATTAGTCTTCTTTTTTTTTTAAACTTCAGAGCAATTTGTCTGATAGAGTTCCGCTATATTGAACAAATTGTATGAACAGCCCAAACAGATAATATTGGTTAACATGACAATGATAAGGACAACGTAACCAAACTGTGTAAACATACATCTTAAAATTAAACATACATCATGAGATATCACATAATTAAACAAAACAATCCAACACACATAGGATTATATCGAACAAAAACATAACGAAAAGAAAGTTTTGTTGTTGATAGTTATTAGATAATCAGGTTAAATATGACAAACCTAATGTAATAAACACTCTCTCCCGATAAAGTACTAAACTTGTTAAATAACAAATACAAGGGTATACAAAATGAAAATTACAATATAACAATTGCATTCTTCCGAAGCGCCTTTCTGGTCTCATCTGATACTAAAGAAGATAAAGTTGTGTGTGTGATTTTTTTAATATCAATTCAGAGTTCTTTTGTCAGTCATTTTCAAATAATTATTGTTGCATATAAAAATATATCGTTAGAGGCATTCTAGTCACAAACAACAATATATTTATTACGAAGGGAGAATGAACCAGACACAATGTCGGACTCCTTATTCTTTTTTTTTTTTGTAGTGCAATCACAATAAAAAAAGAATTTGTAATGTGTGTTTTTTAATTGAACTCTTCTGTATATACAAAGACCTACACTTGTATTAAAAGCAAGAACACCACAATATGAAATTTAAAAAATAACAAATAACTAGTTAGCAAGCATTGAACCCTGTCAAATATAAAAGAAATAATTTAAGGTACGTTTAAAAAGACTGAATTCTTAATCTTGTAATAATATGCCATATCGATATTAGCAAGTCATAAAAATCCGGAACAAGTAAAAGTTACAAACTTTTCAATTATTTCTTATACATTTTTTCTTGATGATACTTGTGATGTTTAAAGCTTTTATCTTTCTGTAAACATTTTAAAAGTATATTTTCTTTTCTATTGTAAGAAGAAAAGATTCAGAATGAGTTGATAAATGGTTGCAGTCATTTTAGCATTCTATTAGATTTTGAATTGTTCATAATTTTTGCTGTTGATTTAATATCTGTCAGTTTATAACAGTTTAAAAAAAATGATATCAGACAACTACTGCCATGTTTGTTAAAGGAGTAGGACAACATTAGGGTTAAATGGTTTATATAACATAAGGGTCAATCAGTGAGTTTTATTGAAAATTGTTATGTAGTTTCAGTGAATTTCGTTTTCTTCTAAGAGTCAATTACTATACAAGACATTTTGTAAGATCAGTATATTACTTTCCCTCTCTAATCTATATCTTAAAATGTGTATGTAGTTAAATGGAGTTGTCTGTACTACAAAAAGATCAGTAATATATTGCTTTGATATTAATTAAAATGTCAGCGCCTAAAATTAAATGTTGTAGATTTCGATAAAATTGTTTGGCTTAACCCTATTGTTAGACTCGTGAATCATCATCACTGGGAACCATTATTACTGCAAAATATGTTTTTCATAAACATTTTTTGGTGTTTTTTTAGCTTATCAAATATAAAACAATGTTATTTACCTCTCTCTATATTTCTATAATTACCTCTTTGAGAAATTTGCAAATTAAATGAGAACTTTATACCATGATGAACAAATGTTCCTTATATCTACATATAAAGGACAAAATCCATATTTGAGGCTATGTGTCAGTGTCATGACAGAAGTAACAGTTTTGCACTTCATTTATAAAGTTTGGATCCCTAATGCTCATATGTAAGACGAAATGTATGAATTTAAATACATCTGGCCGACCAATATCTGATAAACATTAAGAGGTTGTTATTCCAATGTATTTTGTTAGATTCGTGATACTTTTTAGTTTTCGAATTTAAGGTGCAAAAAAGTAGCCGCATCACACATACTCCTTTGTACAATAAGTATCAAAAGTTATTTTCTATTGATATGATTTTTGCAGATATATTGGTATCTCTGATATTTTACCTTTGGAACAGAATCCGTTCCCATATGAAAAACAAAATAATTGTCAATGAACTATATGTTCCCACGCGGGGAGAGAATACTATCGGAATAAATATTTTGAAATGTATCCATTCTCATGTACAAGGTCTAGATACGATCAGAACCATTATTTTGCCTGTAAAATGACGAAACTTGTAAAATAAGTCAACCCTTTCAACATTTTGTAAATCATATTCATAAATCAGCGGGTTGATATAATCTGAACAATCCCCTCCCCCTTTAAGGTCACTTATGATGTCGTTATGACGTCTTGAAAATGTCGAAATTGACATTAATGACCTTAAATGTCCATTTTAGTGTTTGGTCAAAATAGATATAAGCAACAGCCTAACCCAAATAATATTTAATATGCTTTTGCATATTTTGAAAATACATCTTGTAATAAATACCATTGTGTGTAAAGCTGTTGCACATATCTAAATATTAATGACAAGCAGTCACAATGATATTATATGTCAGTTTTTACAGTTTAACAGCAAATGCAAGAAGTTTGATGGTCGGTGGGCTTTATGCTACCACAAAATTGGTCATCTGGTTCAAATAACATAAACGGTACCAATTTTTCTGCACCAGATGGGCATTTCGACAATCAATGTCTCGTCAGAATCCTATTATTTACCTGGAAGACGTAGGGATGCTTAAACTTGTATATCACTATATATCATTGTAGTGAACACATTTCCAAAAAAAAAATAATAATCCGTTTTCCCAGATTTTTAGCTTTACCTGGACCTTAAATCGGAAATAATCTTTACCTTAATGTAATCAAAAAAATAAACACATTTATTATTATTAGTTATATGTCTTCGGGTTTATTCTGTTTTTCGAAATTTTAGGACTTTGTGGAAGGAAAAACCAACTCCTCCAGAAAAAAAACCAAAACAGTTTTATCCGATTTTAATTCTCAAAGTTCGTTTTTGTACTTAAGCTGCACCTTAAACCGGGGGAAAAATTGCAACAAATAGCCTTAGGTTGAGGGAACATGCATAAATTTTGACAAAAACATATCATTTAGTTTACCTCTTAAAGTATGAAGAACCATTGGAGCCAAAATATGTATTGTTGGTAAAGACCATAATATTACGGCCTCCGCATGGTAAGGGCAAATGTACATGGGATCTTCTTAGGTGTCATTGATCATAACTGCTATTTGATTTTTTTTGTTCGGATCCTGTATTAATGAAAAAGTCTTTTGGAATATCTTATACTGCTTAAAATCTGATATGCCGATTCCGGAATCACACATTTGCACCGCACACTGTTATTTGTACTATTAATATTGTGTTTGTCAATTGGTCGCTATCTCATTTACGTTTATCGATATTGGCATCTATGTTTATATGTATTTTCAGACATGATCAATCATTTAATGAAAAAAAAAACATATATGATATTCATCATATTCTAAACAACAGCAAAATACCCTTACTGTTTAGGTTTGTTAGAAATTGATATAAATGGAATGAGCTGTTTTGTGATTCTCGGTTGAGTTCCTTTCGTTGTAGTTACAGTATCGTAAGTCATATCTGATTTGTCCGGGAAGACATGTAACTGTATTGATGACTCTGTAATATTTTCCTCCCCAGGACTATCATGTATCATCTCTTGATGTGCTTGAAATTCATATTGTTCTATCAACCTGTCCCCTTTTTTTCGTTCTGTAAAATAGTAGTGAATGGTTATACAGTAAAGTTATAAACCGAATTTTATAAATCGTAAGAATCATTTCGTCGACAATTTAATTTGTTTTCAAAAATACGTGATATGGGAGGTGGATAATATACCAGCGTAATGTGTAAATTAAGATATGTATATCTCATACACAAAAGATAGGGACAACTGCTGAGAAAAAGGAATTTACAATTGGAAAGTTGGTCATAGTTGGAAATTGCCAATTTGTGCTAATATAAAATAAAGTAATTTATAAAATAGATACAAAAACAAAAATCTGCTATGATTACCATTGAATAATATTTTGTATTTTCTTTTTTTTTTTATAATATCAATATTATTCTTATTTAATAATTTCTATATTTCTTTTTGTAACACGTTTTTTTTTTGCAGTTGCCGCACTGAAATGCATTCTAAAATACGTATGTGCATTTTGTTCGTAGATTAACATGCCTGATAGAGTTTAGCAGACACCAAATGAAAATATTTTGAATAAAATAATAGCAATTTGTCTAATTAAGTATGATGACGTAACTGAAACCCCTATTGTACCTTGAATTTACATTATCATTTGTACAGATAATCATGTTTTTTTTCAAACGATAACGGTAAAACATTTTTTCTCAAGCAGATTGGAATTAAAATTAGGTTCTTTGATTCTTTTTAACATGTTAAATTAGTACTATTTAACTTTTTCGTGTGATATAAGTTCTGTAATAACAATATTACAAGGTAAAATGAATATTTTTAAATGTACCCTTTTGTATGTTCAAATTATATTCCCCGAATCCTGACTTCATTATTAGTCAACTTTCGTTCATTGAAATCTAAAACGTCGATACAGACACTAAAATAAAGAACGAGTTGAGAAATGATATCTCATTTACATAAACTCTTTTTTCTTCTTTTCTTCTAAAATCAAGTTTATTGCACTATATGCTGTTATAAAAATACCATGTCTACAGCATTTTACAGAGTACCCCTGTTAAGTTAGTTTTGCTGAACAAACAGGGAGGTTGTTTAGTAAATGATAAACAATTGTTAGATTTATATTCTATGTCTACGACAGATTTCTATAGAATTTATTTCCCGGAAAAATTACATTCATGGACCAATTTGACACTGTATATGTTAGTTTACCTGGCCATGACCCTGTTGATCAACGATCACACCATGTAGGCAAATTGACAAAGCTATTTTCATTGTAAGTATATGTACTTGGGTGTGAATTGAAGTGTTAACATGATTTTTGTTAATATTAATTATAAGTTTAAAGGAAATTAGCTGTTAAGATAAGTAGGATTTAAAATTTTATCATCGAACATGATCATGACAAAGCCAAAGTCAACAATACGTGGTCAATGGATCAATAAGAGTGGATAAGCCATAGTAAATTAATCCACATATATTTGCCCTACAAATGTAACATAATAACATAAATGCATAAAATAATGATTATATATACAGGCTTCTTTATTTTCATTATCATTTCTGCATAACTCTTAATCTCTTTTTGCCTTAACCGTTTGAAAGGTGTGTTCAAACATTGATAAAATACAATTCTTCAGGTTTATTTTCTAGAAATTGCTCAATATATGTCAAAGGTAGTCTCTTTGGCGATTAAAATTACATCTACACAACAGTAGCAAATTATAAAGACGAGTTTCAAAAAATGAGTTCAATTTGTAACTGTTGATGAATCACATTATTATGTGTTTAATATTTTCATTTGACCATACCTGTTGATTCTGCAAATATGCCCAATTGTCTTATTTGCAAAATATCGTGGTCAGAATTATACAGTACACATTGAAGAAAACCAAAATCACCATCAAGTTCTGGAATATAAACTAACTATGTATTATCTAAATTAAGTAGAAATAAAAAAAAAACTCACCCTTTCAGGGTTTACTAAATAAACCACACAGTTAAAAAATATATAAATCATTAAACAGCATAAACTACAGACAGAAATACACGTTTACATATTCAAGCACATAATCCTTTAAAACCACATGAACGTTTGCTTTGATCATTTTCATAAAAATAAACTCAAAGCCAAAGCGCCAACGGAAAATATATACTACTTCAATTATGTTTCGTACAAGTATTTACAGCAACGAAAGAGCTTGATATGGTACCGACAAATTACCGTTTAAAGAATGATATCTGTAAATTCGAGTGTACTCCTTAAAAAATATTCAAAAGATATTTTATTATCTTATTTTGACGCAAACAGAGTTAAAATGTGGAAAAAAGGATTATGTACAGGACGATGTACTCCTGCAGTGTATTTGTTTTTTCTTAACATGTCAATGTTCTACAATTAATGCTCCCTTCACTCAATTCTCTTCAACTTCGTTATTTGTGGTGGCTATTTAACTTTTGATATTCGAGCGTCACTGATGAGTCTCTTTTAGACGAAACGCGCGTCTGGCGTACAAAATTTCAATCCTGGTATATATGATTAGTTAAATGACATGCACGGATGTTTCTCACGAGTCCTTACGATTTCACCACTTTTACGACCGATTTAAGAGTTGCTACGAGTTTCAACGAAACGGCAAAATTCCATGATTTGTTTTGTCACGGACAACTACGAGCAACTTACCGTCATTTTACGAGCTTTTACTAATTGTTACGAGTATATTACGGAATGCTACTTTTCCTCGTAGCTTTTGTGTGTAAGTTACGACCTGTTTACGTGTTGTTACGAATAGCAAGTTGAGAGTATTTACGAGTGCTAACGTTTTTTTGCCGAAAAATAGATAAATCCTGCAAATCTCAATATATCATCATTCGACAAATGACATCAAGAGAAACACCATATGAAAGAAACAGATTGCAGTTATATCAACAATTTTACAATTCCTCATTCAGTTAGCCTAAATCGTAAATAATACGTAAAGTATACGTTTCTATTCCTAAAGTAACTACAATTTGAGTACTTGTAATATATCGTTTAAATCCGCAAAACTATCGTAACACGACCCGAATGAAATAGTAAACAACATGTAAAAAGTAAAATAACAAAAATACCGAACTCCGAGGAAAATTCAAAACGGAAAGTCTCTAATTAAATGGCAAAATCAAAAGCTCAAACACATCATACGAATGGATAATATCTGTCATATATCTGACTTGTTACAGGCATATTCTTGTGTAGAAAATGGTGGATTAAACCTGGTTTTATAGCTAACTAAACCTCTCACTTGTATGACAGTCGCATAAAATTCCATTATATTGACAACGTTGTGTGAACAAAACAAACAGACATAATTGTTTAAAATGACAAAAATAGGGGCACAGCAGTCAACATTGTGATATAATCTTAATCACCATAACAACAAACAAATATGTCAACAAAGAAAAACAAGAAACTAGAAAAAAAAAAACAAACACAAGAATATAAAAATTTACCATAGCACAATAACATAATGACGGCATGTATAAGTACCAAGCCACGTCAAATGAATAAGCACGTGTAATAATCCTTTTATTATCTGCAAACAAATCGTACGCTTACCATAACAAATCGTTAAATAAAAGGTTATGCGAAATGTTCGAATTCTAGCGAGCAGTTATGGATGGCTACGTTTTGTTGCAACGATTTAATTACGGTTTATTACGAGCTATTTACGGGAAAATCAATCCATCGCCAATCGTGAAAAAATTTTTGACATGTCTAAAAATTTGCCTCCCCTTCTACGGTTCCTTAAGAGTTTCAGCGAGTTGTTGAGAGTTGCAACGAGTTATCTATGGATACCACCGAGGTATTCACGGATGCTTATGAATGACTACAAGTTGGAGATCGATCCGTGTACGTGAAGGGAAATTGATATAAATGGAATGAGCTGTTTTGTGATTCTCGGTTGAGTTCCTTTCGTTGTAGTTACAGTATCGTAAGTCATATCTGATTTGTCCGGGAAGACATGTAACTGTATTGATGACTCTGTAATATTTTCCTCCCCAGGACTATCATGTATCATCTCTTGATGTGCTTGAAATTCATATTGTTCTATCAACCTGTCCCCTTTTTTTCGTTCTGTAAAATAGTAGTGAATGGTTATACAGTAAAGTTATAAACCGAATTTTATAAATCGTAAGAATCATTTCGTCGACAATTTAATTTGTTTTCAAAAATACGTGATATGGGAGGTGGATAATATACCAGCGTAATGTGTAAATTAAGATATGTATATCTCATACACAAAAGATAGGGACAACTGCTGAGAAAAAGGAATTTACAATTGGAAAGTTGGTCATAGTTGGAAATTGCCAATTTGTGCTAATATAAAATAAAGTAATTTATAAAATAGATACAAAAACAAAAATCTGCTATGATTACCATTGAATAATATTTTGTATTTTCTTTTTTTTTTTATAATATCAATATTATTCTTATTTAATAATTTCTATATTTCTTTTTGTAACACGTTTTTTTTTTGCAGTTGCCGCACTGAAATGCATTCTAAAATACGTATGTGCATTTTGTTCGTAGATTAACATGCCTGATAGAGTTTAGCAGACACCAAATGAAAATATTTTGAATAAAATAATAGCAATTTGTCTAATTAAGTATGATGACGTAACTGAAACCCCTATTGTACCTTGAATTTACATTATCATTTGTACAGATAATCATGTTTTTTTTCAAACGATAACGGTAAAACATTTTTTCTCAAGCAGATTGGAATTAAAATTAGGTTCTTTGATTCTTTTTAACATGTTAAATTAGTACTATTTAACTTTTTCGTGTGATATAAGTTCTGTAATAACAATATTACAAGGTAAAATGAATATTTTTAAATGTACCCTTTTGTATGTTCAAATTATATTCCCCGAATCCTGACTTCATTATTAGTCAACTTTCGTTCATTGAAATCTAAAACGTCGATACAGACACTAAAATAAAGAACGAGTTGAGAAATGATATCTCATTTACATAAACTCTTTTTTCTTCTTTTCTTCTAAAATCAAGTTTATTGCACTATATGCTGTTATAAAAATACCATGTCTACAGCATTTTACAGAGTACCCCTGTTAAGTTAGTTTTGCTGAACAAACAGGGAGGTTGTTTAGTAAATGATAAACAATTGTTAGATTTATATTCTATGTCTACGACAGATTTCTATAGAATTTATTTCCCGGAAAAATTACATTCATGGACCAATTTGACACTGTATATGTTAGTTTACCTGGCCATGACCCTGTTGATCAACGATCACACCATGTAGGCAAATTGACAAAGCTATTTTCATTGTAAGTATATGTACTTGGGTGTGAATTGAAGTGTTAACATGATTTTTGTTAATATTAATTATAAGTTTAAAGGAAATTAGCTGTTAAGATAAGTAGGATTTAAAATTTTATCATCGAACATGATCATGACAAAGCCAAAGTCAACAATACGTGGTCAATGGATCAATAAGAGTGGATAAGCCATAGTAAATTAATCCACATATATTTGCCCTACAAATGTAACATAATAACATAAATGCATAAAATAATGATTATATATACAGGCTTCTTTATTTTCATTATCATTTCTGCATAACTCTTAATCTCTTTTTGCCTTAACCGTTTGAAAGGTGTGTTCAAACATTGATAAAATACAATTCTTCAGGTTTATTTTCTAGAAATTGCTCAATATATGTCAAAGGTAGTCTCTTTGGCGATTAAAATTACATCTACACAACAGTAGCAAATTATAAAGACGAGTTTCAAAAAATGAGTTCAATTTGTAACTGTTGATGAATCACATTATTATGTGTTTAATATTTTCATTTGACCATACCTGTTGATTCTGCAAATATGCCCAATTGTCTTATTTGCAAAATATCGTGGTCAGAATTATACAGTACACATTGAAGAAAACCAAAATCACCATCAAGTTCTGGAATATAAACTAACTATGTATTATCTAAATTAAGTAGAAATAAAAAAAAAACTCACCCTTTCAGGGTTTACTAAATAAACCACACAGTTAAAAAATATATAAATCATTAAACAGCATAAACTACAGACAGAAATACACGTTTACATATTCAAGCACATAATCCTTTAAAACCACATGAACGTTTGCTTTGATCATTTTCATAAAAATAAACTCAAAGCCAAAGCGCCAACGGAAAATATATACTACTTCAATTATGTTTCGTACAAGTATTTACAGCAACGAAAGAGCTTGATATGGTACCGACAAATTACCGTTTAAAGAATGATATCTGTAAATTCGAGTGTACTCCTTAAAAAATATTCAAAAGATATTTTATTATCTTATTTTGACGCAAACAGAGCTAAAATGTGGAAAAAAGGATTATGTACAGGACGATGTACTCCTGCAGTGTATTTGTTTTTTCTTAACATGTCAATGTTCTACAATTAATGCTCCCTTCACTCAATTCTCTTCAACTTCGTTATTTGTGGTGGCTATTTAACTTTTGATATTCGAGCGTCACTGATGAGTCTCTTTTAGACGAAACGCGCGTCTGGCGTACAAAATTTCAATCCTGGTATATATGATTAGTTAAATGACATGCACGGATGTTTCTCACGAGTCCTTACGATTTCACCACTTTTACGACCGATTTAAGAGTTGCTACGAGTTTCAACGAAACGGCAAAATTCCATGATTTGTTTTGTCACGGACAACTACGAGCAACTTACCGTCATTTTACGAGCTTTTACTAATTGTTACGAGTATATTACGGAATGCTACTTTTCCTCGTAGCTTTTGTGTGTAAGTTACGACCTGTTTACGTGTTGTTACGAATAGCAAGTTGAGAGTATTTACGAGTGCTAACGTTTTTTTGCCGAAAAATAGATAAATCCTGCAAATCTCAATATATCATCATTCGACAAATGACATCAAGAGAAACACCATATGAAAGAAACAGATTGCAGTTATATCAACAATTTTACAATTCCTCATTCAGTTAGCCTAAATCGTAAATAATACGTAAAGTATACGTTTCTATTCCTAAAGTAACTACAATTTGAGTACTTGTAATATATCGTTTAAATCCGCAAAACTATCGTAACACGACCCGAATGAAATAGTAAACAACATGTAAAAAGTAAAATAACAAAAATACCGAACTCCGAGGAAAATTCAAAACGGAAAGTCTCTAATTAAATGGCAAAATCAAAAGCTCAAACACATCATACGAATGGATAATATATGTCATATATCTGACTTGTTACAGGCATATTCTTGTGTAGAAAATGGTGGATTAAACCTGGTTTTATAGCTAACTAAACCTCTCACTTGTATGACAGTCGCATAAAATTCCATTATATTGACAACGTTGTGTGAACAAAACAAACAGACATAATTGTTTAAAATGACAAAAATAGGGGCACAGCAGTCAACATTGTGATATAATCTTAATCACCATAACAACAAACAAATATGTCAACAAAGAAAAACAAGAAACTAGAAAAAAAAAAACAAACACAAGAATATAAAAATTTACCATAGCACAATAACATAATGACGGCATGTATAAGTACCAAGCCACGTCAAATGAATAAGCACGTGTAATAATCCTTTTATTATCTGCAAACAAATCGTACGCTTACCATAACAAATCGTTAAATAAAAGGTTATGCGAAATGTTCGAATTCTAGCGAGCAGTTATGGATGGCTACGTTTTGTTGCAACGATTTAATTACGGTTTATTACGAGCTATTTACGGGAAAATCAATCCATCGCCAATCGTGAAAAAATTTTTGACATGTCTAAAAATTTGCCTCCCCTTCTACGGTTCCTTAAGAGTTTCAGCGAGTTGTTGAGAGTTGCAACGAGTTATCTATGGATACCACCGAGGTATTCACGGATGCTTATGAATGACTACAAGTTGGAGATCGATCCGTGTACGTGAAGGGGGCAAACATATAAAATTTCATTAAGTAGTCAGAAACCAATATTTCGTAAAATTTAAATGCTACGCAACTCTGTTTGGAATGTCACTGACTTCTCACTGGTATTATATGAATCAAATATTTTACATACACAGTATTTATAAATAAAATGTTAATAATTTCTTGTACAACACAACTGATCAAGTAGAGTGCACATATCACATGTTTTTCATACTCTTTGTTGAAGGCCGTACTTTGACCTATAATGGTTTACTTTTACAAATTGTGACTTGGATGGAGAGTTGTCTCATTGGCACTCGTACCACATCTTCTTATATCTATCTTTACTTTACATTATTCTTGGTTAATATGGGGATAAACATATGTCATTGGACATGCGTGTATTCATACCATACAAGTCAACATAATAAAGTAAGGGATTTATGTTTGAGTTGTTTAAATCGAATTGTGATCTGGTGTGTAATTGTACAACAAAATATTCCAAGAAAATAAAACATCGGTATATTGTCCAAAGCGTGGTCTTATAAATGATTATGCTGAAAAGAATAGTATTCAGTTGTAAGGTAGATAAAGTGTAGTTGTTGAAGAATAAGCGAAGGCATTCAATAGGTAACCACACAGTTCTTACGTTATTTGAAATAAGACGTATAAAGTATATGTACAGCAAAATCATGTCGTTAATTCGTATTCTTCTTGTAATATATTCCTGTGATGTGTGTTTTAACTATACGCTCAGAACGTATTGTTCTTCATTTTGATAGGAGTATATCCTTTTTTTTATTATTAATTTCCTATGTTATATTGCATATTCAATCAATAACGCTATGTTTGTATATTTTTAACTAAGTTATACTAACAAATTGCTACTTTGAAATGTTTCTTCGGATAGTAATTTGTGATTCTTGTTGAGCGATTTGACCAAATTGAACCAGAGGGAAAACGTTTTGTTTAGTTTTGAAAGACCAACTGTGTATTAAAGGTTAAGAACAGTCAATGACAAACTATACAATATCTGTATCAGTGAGTTCAGTTTTATCAAGTGCATGTTGGAATTATGTGTCTTGAATTTTAACACAAAAATAAGGTTTACCTTGAAGAAATTTAAGATGAAATTGAACACCACTTCTGGAACTCTGTATATCCACACTGTAATTTGTTTCTAGTTCATTTGGTACATTTGCTAGTGTTGACAGTACTTCTCGTTTACTGTTCATAGAAATGCGCTCCCATTTTATATGATTTCGCAGCAGGTAATTTGCATCTTGATTAATTTCGCAAATAAATTTCGGTTTTTGTCCCTTCGTAAAAACCACTTGAATAAACTTGTATTCATTTTCTTTGCAGACAGTATACAACACTATCAAAATAAAAAAAAATATGGATGAAAATATGTGTAAATTGTTAGAGTTTTAAGATTTTCAACAAAGTCGGTTACGATTAACCTATCTCGTAAAGTTATTAGAAGGATTTATTTCATCGTTGTAAAAGATCGGGCGTTATAGCAATTTTAATGTATTATTCATACTAACTCTAGTGGATTTGCACTGATTGTTTATTTTGAACATAAAACAAATTGTCTATTATTACTGCAAAAGGAAAACGAATCCTTTGTTAAAGAACTTTCCGTTTTGAATTTTCCTTGACGTTCGCTATTTTTGTTATCTCACTTTTTACCACCGGGATCAAAGGGATTGTATTACTAATTTTCCGTTTGCATTTCAAAGAAAAAAGACTTGAACGATTAGTTGGATAAGACTTTAAATTGCCTATTAAGTGATATAAATGAAGACTTGATTTTTCACAAAAAAACGACCACATAAGTTCCATTTATATATATCAGAAATATACTTGGCTTTAGGTAATTCTATATTTTTCATGTCGGGGCCTTTAAAGATATGCAGTGTAAACCATCGCCACAACTTCTGTTGAAAGTAAAATGAGGAGAAAAACCTTTCATCATGTTCATAGGAAATAATGTGTAAGCATCAAAGTAAAATTGCTGAAGCTTATCGATTAATTTAAAACAAAAAGAATTACACACATTAAAGAAAAAATTAATCAATAATATTTTGTATGCCGGACTAGCGTTTCGTCTTCAAGACTAATCCTTGATGCTCGAATAAAAATGTAAATGGCATATAAAGTACGACTTTGAATAGAATTCAGGACTAACAATCAGAAAGATTTTGACTGATATGTCTACGGTAATATATTCCTAAGGGTAAAAAATCACTTTTCAACAAGACAGTATTATAAGGAACGCAATGTTCAAAGATATAAGTTTAGTGATATTCAAGGTTAACAACAAAAGCGTAACCCTTTTCTATAAGATATCATGTTCCCCATAATATTTAGAGAATTAAGGAAAAAACTATATTAAAGCAAAGAAAAGAAAAAAAAAACAATTAGTCTGTTCATTTGTAAAGATGGAAATCCTTAATAACCAAAGCAGCACCATGGAAAGACTAAACAAAAATGAAGTAGATTATGCCTTCAAACTTTGTTGGTTCAATTACATTTGATGAATATTATGCAGAAGAAACGTACGTTAGGTGTACTAAATGACAATGTATGCATTAATTTCTATGATGACCCAACAAGATTGAAATGTTCTCAAAGATAAACATCGTCAAGGTAAAATAAACGTCAAAGAATTCTTTCAGAAAAATAATGATAAAAATATTAATATTTTCGAAATACAAAATTAATATTATAATAGGGGATGATTACTTTAAAATCAACAGATAAAATACGATCATTTGTAATCAATATGACTTATTTCTTTGTACATGTTGTAAGACAACTTTGAAACTACTTGACAATACAAATAGCGACCCCATATCACTAATCCTATTCAAAAGAAAAAGTTTAACATATTACTGTATGTAATTAATATTTCTCTGTATAAGGTCACTCAGCATAGTATTTTGATATATACTGTGCATTTAAACACAATTCATTTTAATTGAAGATCAATCTTGCAATAAGAATAACAAAACAATAGGGGTGGAATAGTCTTCACTTTTGTGCTGACGTGACATTTCAATTCATGAGGTATTTTTTTTCTAAATGTACTTTTCATTAAGGATGTACTTAGGTGAGGTTTAGGAATTTTTGTCAGATGTTCGGACTCCTTGGTTTTTTTCCTACGATACAGGGTAAAATAGTTTTCCCCATAACACCCATTTTTCTTTTCACATAGGACTTCAATAGCTCCTAAAAGGTCATTTACCAATATTTAAGCAAATTCTTGATTTCTTTTCTTTCGATTTGAGACCTAATCAATACCAATGCAATAATAAGGTAAAGGTCCGAACCAGTCTTTTACCGACAGTTTTTAAATATTAAATACCTCGAAAAGGAGCTCCATAACTGATTAATATTGTTAGCTGTTTTTGTTCCTTAACTATTGCTCTTTTGACTTCTAGTATCAATTGTGAGTTCTAGATTCTTTTAATTTCACCTAAGTACAACCTAAATTGTTAATAATTAAAACGATAATGTTTTCTATTCCAGCCATTACCGCATTTGTTTTTCAATCTTCATTTTTTATTGTTTTTCGAACTGTTTTGACTGTTGCAGCACTGTTTGGGTATTATGAAGATGAAACTTGCGTTCGGTCTAATTCAAATGTCAACACCTTTTTACACGGAGGAACACGTTTATTACAAATCAAGCTTCATTTTACTTATTATAATTTCCCTCTGATTCCCATAATGTTATGATATATTTTATCTTTATAGTTCAAGTGTTCTCCTCCCCCCACCCCCCTCTCCCCCAAGTGCACGCATAAAGCCCATTTTTCTTATTTCACATACAGACCAGTCGCTGAAAGAGTCCATATTTATTTTGTATTTAATTAATTTGTTCTTTGTTCTTTTAAAGTATCATCTTTAGTGAAAGTAAAAGTATCAACATTACATTACAATGATATTACAGAAGTGGTTTACATTTGCTAGTTATGTTGACAGGTTAAGCTATGCATCTGAATCTCTTTATATTGATTTTAAACTTTGATTTCAAACAGAAAAGTAAAATAAAAGTTACTTACCATTAAATACAAAATAAAAGCATATTACACTCAAAACCCCCATGTTCAATCGTCACCGAACTCAATGTACACTTTAGGATTGGAATACTATTGTCCAAATGTATGACAAAGACATTATTTTTAAAATTAAATCTAGAAGCCTCAATTCCAATTTGTGTCGTTGCCAAATACCAAGACAAGCCGGGCTTAGTATATTATATTAAACAAAACGAAAAGTTAAAACGACTTAATCAGAGTAAAAAAAGGATCATACATGTTCAGCGTCCGGAGCACATGTGGCAGCGATTATAGTATCTTTCTTGTGTTTTACTTTGTATTTTTGTGGCTTAACTAGTTATCTATTTCAGCAAACTATTTCAATCAACTATGAAAATATCTAATTTGATTTAAAATTGTTAAATAATTTGATAAAAATTTCCAGAATTCATTACGCTATAGCTTTCAGTATTCCAAATTTAGTCCCCGCTATGGTCTGTTGTATAATTGAATATTGAAGCATATGAATATCCAGTATTAAACCACATGCAGTGCAGGTACATGTATGCCGTTTCAACATACTTTTGGTTAGTATAGCGAGCAGATTTGACATTTGCTGCAATTTGGATAAAACTTCATTGGACAGTTCGTTTGATTTGTCTGAGCTTATAATTTAGTCATTTGATCAGGGACTTTCCGTTTTGAATTTTCCTTGAAGTTCGGTATTTTTGTTACTTTACTTTCTTTTTTGTTTGTGTACAATATTTTCTATTGGCTTTGTTATGCTATTTTCACCGCGGTTTTTATAGTGAGACACATATTATTTGGAGCTTTCTTTTGTTAATTTGTACCAAGAGTGCCTGATTATGATTTTGGACCTCTTTGGAAATTGTTTAAAAGTAAGCTTTAAACATTTTGTAAAGTATTGCTATTTTCGATAATTTATTTTAAAATAAGTTGATCTTAAACTTTGTACTTGTTTGGCTTTCTAAATATTTTGATCTGAGCGTCACTGATGAGTCTTATCTAGACGAAACGCGCGTCTGGCGTTTTAAATTATAAGCATGGTATCTTTGATAACTATTTGGTTAAAATTTCTCACATTTGCGTAACAGAATGGTAATATATTCCTGGGGTAGAATTTCCTGAGTATGTCGGACAATTCAATTATTTTCAACAAGACAGTATTATAAGGAACGCAATGTTCAAAGATAAAAGTTTAGTGATATTCAAGGTTAACAACAAAAGCGTAACACCTTTCTATTAGATATCATGTTCCCCATAATATTTAGAGAATTAAGGAAAAAACTATATTAAAACAAAGAAAAGAAAAAAATTCAACTAGTCTGTTCATTTTTAAAAATGGAAATACTTAATAATCAAAGCAGCACCATGGAAAGACTAAACAAAAATGAAGTAGATTCTGCCTTCAAACTGTGTTGGTTCAATTACATTTGATGAATATTATGCAGACGAAACGTACGTTAGGTGTACTAAATGACAATGTATGCATTAATTTCTATGATGACCCAACAAGATTGAAATGTTCCCAAAGATAAACATCGTCAAGGTAAAATAAACGTCAAAGAATTCTTTCAGAAAAATAATGATAAAAATATTCATATTTTCGAAATACCAAATTTATATTATAATAGGGGATGATTACTTTAAAATCAACAGATAAAATACGATCATTTGTAATCAATATGACTTATTTCTTTGTACATGTTGTAAGACAACTTTAAAACTACTTGACAATACAAATAGCGACCCATATCACTAATCCTATTCAAAAGAAAAAGTTTAACATATTACTGTCTGTAATTAATTTTTCTCTGTATAAGGTCACTCAGCATAATATTTGGATATATACTGTGCATTTAAACACAATTTATTTTAAATGAATAATAAGAATAACAAAACAGTAGGGGTGGAATAGTCTTCACTTTTGTGCTGACGTGACATTTCAATTCAAAAGGTTTATTTTTTAAATTTACTGTTCATTAAGGATGTACTAAGGTGAGGTTTAGGAATTTTTGTCAGATGTTCGGACTCCTTGGTTTTTTTCCTACGAATTAGGGTAAAATAGTTTTCCCCATAACACCCATTTTTCTTTTCACAGAGGACTTCAATAGCTCATACAAGATCATTTACCAATATTGAAGCAGATTCTACATTTCTTTTCTTTCGATTTGAGACCTAAATAATACCAATGCAAAAATAAGGTAAAGGTCCGAATCAGCCTTTTCCCGACAGTTTTGAAATATTAAATATCTCGAAAAGGAGCTCCATAACTTATTAGTATTGTTAGCTTATTTTGTTCCTTAACTAATGTGATTTTGATTTATAGTATCAATTGTGAATTCTAGATTCTTTTAATTTCACCTATGTACATCCTTAATTGTTAATAATTGAAACGATAATGTTTTCTATCCCAGCCATTACCGCATTTGTTTTCCAATCTTCATTTTTATTTGGTTTTCTAAAAGAGGGACGAAAGATACCAGAGGGACAGTCAAACTCATAGATCGAAAACAAACTGACAAAGCCATGGCCAAAAATAAAAAGACAAATAGACAAATAGTAGTACATATACTAACTGTTTTGACTGTTGCAGCACTGTTGGGTTTAATGAAGATGAAACGTGCGTCCGGTCTTATTCAAATGTCAACACTTTTTTACACGGAGGAACACGTTTATTATAAATCGAACTTCATTTTACTTCTTATAATTTCCCTCTGATTCCTATAATGTTATGATATATTTTATCTTTATAGTTCAAGTGTTCTCCTCCCCCCCCCCCCCCCCCCCCCCCCCCCCCCCCCTCTCCCCAAAGTGCTCGCATAAAGCCCATTTTTCTTATTTCACATACAGACCAGTCGCTGAAAGAGTCCATATTAATTTGGTATTTATATTGATTTTAAACTTTGATTTCAAACAGAAAAGTAAAATAAAAGTTACTTACCATTAAATACAAAATAAAAGCACATTACACTCAAAACCCCCATGTTCAATCGTCACCGAACTCAAAGTACACTTTAGGATTGGAATAATATTGTCCAAATGTATGACAAAGACATTATTTTTAAAATTAAATCTAGAAGTCTCAATTCCAATTTGTGTCCAAATACCAAGACAAGCCGGGCTTAGTATATTTAACAAAAACTATTACAATATATCATTTTACCATACCATGGCGCGCGGAAGTAGTCAAGGAGACAGTATTATTTTTTTCAGGGGTTGACAGGATACGTGTAATCGTTTTTAGTTTCAACTTCAATGTTCTTATGCAAGAAAATTTTATAAACAATGATTTTATATATGTTTTTATTTGGTTTTCACTTTACATAGGGCTTTATCTCTGATCTTATTTCAGTGTGCACTATTCTTATTCTACGTATTTCACCTTTATCGATATTAGGAAAATCTGTTTGGTCGATTGCATATACCATTTTATTTTAGGGGTGTTCAGATTCAATGTCGAGTTTATGTATATTATTTAGCGTTGTCTGCGAGAAACAAATAATTTCTCTGATAAAGTATCTAAATTCAAATCCAATATAAATATAGTTAACATATATATTTTATTGAACTGTGTAAATTGATCGGAATGCCAATGCTAACATACACCTACAATTCTTTTTTAGTGTATTCCGTTTAACACATGACATTTGCGCGGGAACTTCTTCCATTGACATCGTAAAGACGTAATATAATTGAATTTGGGGATTATTGTAATCATGGTAATGTGAAGTAACAGTAATTGACATTTGGATGTAATGTGATATTATTTATTTCTTCTATAGTACATAATTTGACGTCAGGTTTGTACACATTAAGACAGTGGCGGATCCAGGGGACAGGGGATTCCGGAGGTTGAAACCCTCTTTTTTTTATTGACGATCAATGCATTTTAATGGGGATATTTAGTTGGAACTGACCCTTTATCCTGGGTAAGGTTTCTCTTTTTAAAAATAGCTGTATCCGACCCTGCTAGTCTAGTCAGAACCGAATAGCCCGGATAACATTCTTCCCCTAGGTCCGTTCGTCAAGATTACATGGTCGCCCTAGGTTCGTTCGCCCTGATAGTCCGTTCGCCCTATTTTATTTTAAATATATGTATATATGTTACATTCATGAACGGGAGGGGGAGGAGGGGAAAGGTTTTCATCTGTCTCTGGTCATATAATTTATTTAGGATATATGTATATGTTTCATTTATGAACGGGAAAAGGGGGGAAGGGAAGGTCTTCGTCTGTCTCTGGTCATATGAATTCGTACTACATGCTATGCTATGCTTTGCATGCTTTTTCAGTGGAAAATATAACGTCACTGCATTCTTAATAGTACATAAACCCAAGAGACGAGTGTAACGTGCAACCGGACAGGACGTTTTAATATGTTTATGATGAATACCAGTTTCCTGGGATTTGAAGAGCAATGCAAAATTTCTAAAGTCAATTAAATACTATATTAAGTGAATTTCAACACCTATCAACTTAACCCGTACCTGGCAAATCAAAACTGTTTAAAACCCTTTCAGTCTGATATTCGTTCAAACCAAATGTTTGGAAATAGGCTGAAACATTAATGTATGGAACCTATTAAAACAAATGTATGGAAACTATTTGAAGTGGTATGAAACTTTATTTAAATAAATGTCTATATTACTGTCGGAACAACAGGTTAGCACAAAGGTATGGTTTAACAGCAAACACTTAATTTAATAGTGAGAGATGTGTAACGTAAAACCCTAGCACCAGCCCTGTTTGGAAATTTGTACCGAACCAACTGTTTCAGCCTTTCTATATCCTGTCCGCAGGTTTCAAACACTTTACTATTTAACTAATCCTGCTTTAACTCTTCACTCTCCTGCTTCCCTGATCTTCTTCCTTCAACGTCTTCGGTACAAATGACAACTTTAATGACAATGGAAACTATTAACGACCTGGACTGGCTTTACAGCCCAGTGGCGGATCCAGAAATTTTCATAAGTGGGGGCCCACTGACTGCCTTAGAGGGAACCCGCTCCGGTCATGCTTTAGTGATTCTTTATATAATCAACCAAATTTTTCCCAGAAAAGGGGGGGCCTGGGCCCCCTCTAAATCCGCCTCTGCAGCCCTTGCAAGGTCGGTACCAACTTTAAATGTATAGCTACTACGAACACAGACCTCGAAGAGAGCACCCTTTCAACAACTGTACAGGTAAAGCGTCTAATAGCAACCAAGGATAAAGGGATGATTTTGTATGCTGTTTTCAATAATAAAAAGATCAGTATTATCTATAATTTATATAGAAATATTATTACATATATAAACTTTAAATTTGTTACATGAGGTTAATACAATAATGTATTGTATGTCTGTATCAACCAACAAATAAAACTGATTTGCTGTTTACACTACAACTGTCTAATAAACCTTTGTGTATGTATATTTAATCTCATTTCTGACCATTCAACTGATAAAATCAACGGAATCTGTGTAAATGTCGTGAATTCTATATGTCTTTCACCTTAAAAGGCTTTATAAAAATCGCTAAAGAGGATTTTATATACATTATCCTCGTCTTATGAGTTTTTGTTATATTAAGAATGCATTATGCCGTCACGATTTCCATTGAAAATGCATGCATAGTACGAAAACACATGACAAAAGTAAACATGATCTGACCATATATTTTAGGGATTGTTTACATTCCTAGTCTAGTTATTAAGTAACATAATGTACAATTAAGGTATGTTACTTAGTGTTTTTTTGCAAAAAAACAACTTTATTTATTGATAAACTTCCTTAATAAAGAAACATTATATAAAGTAAACATGTTCTTTACATTTTGCTGTGTGAAATTGGCCTAAATATGAAGGACAGTACAGCCCTATAAATGGTATATCCCATTTTACACATGAAATGTACGCAGGAAAGACCCACTTGGTTGTATCACCTTTGCGACAATTAATTCGTCTCTGCATTGTAATTTACTGACCATGCTGACTGTCTTTTAATTTGATATCCTATCATAGAACATTATCAGCATTTGATGTTGGGTTTGTCCACAATTTGGAATCTATATATTACAGAGATACTGTTCCCAGATGGACTTCAATCTGAATTATTATTGTCAATATTGAAAATAAGTTGATCCATCCTTTAGAAAAGTTGTTTTGAATATAATGAATCCCCCGTCCTCTACACCGCGCACCTCTCTTAGTTAAAAAGGCTACATTTTCTTTTTTTCCTTTTTCCGAACAGCAAATTAAGGGATATTCCTCATTGGGCTGGGGGGGGGGGGGATTCCCAACCTGTTGTTTAAATTAATTATAAATCAGGCCATTGATTTTCTCATTTGAATTGTTGTTTACTTTTCCAGTAGGGACTGTTGACAGCCAACAAGGGTTTTCCTCTTTTGAAGGCTGTATTTGCTTTTGTCATTTGAATTTCAGTGGATAGTTGTCTCATTGGTAATCATACCAAACATTCTGATTTTTATACATGTATTGATTGCAGACCTGAAAAAGATGTACAAAGTTACATATGCTGCTAACTTCAAACAACCTACTACAAATGATTTACCATAAAACAGTTGAGCCGAACTATATATATTTGATCTCATTTGTGTCTTTGTACCACTACCAATCAACAGAACAAATGCAAATAATTATGATGTCTTGAAAGGTTTTTGTATTAATCTTATCAATATAAACTGTATCACAATAAAAACGTGTTGGGCTCTGTTAAAGCTTTTTAAAGTCATTTTTTAGTAGCAACAAATAAAAGAACTATGTCAATTGGACATGCTTTGATACTATATATGCCCTTGAATTTTTACTTGATAACATTTTTGTTCGCTTTGGAGATTCCGTATATCGTCAAGTTATCGGAATTCCAATGGGGACTAACTGTGCACCACTTATTGCGGACCTGTTTTTGTATTGTTATGAGTTACAATTTATGACTAAAATCAGCATGACCCATCGAAACAACATCTGATACAAACATTTAACAATACTTTTAGATATTTGGATGATATATTGGCTCTCAATAATGACGACTTCAGTATGTATACTAAAGAAATTTATCCTGTTGAACTTACTTTAAATAAAGCTAATACTAACAATGACCACTGTCCTTTCCTCGATCTTGATATCTATATCATTAACGGGAAGCTTAATAAAAAAAATTATGATAAAAGAGATGATTTTGCATTTCCTATCGTTAATTATCCATTTTTAGATGATGACGTTCCCTTGTCACCATCTTATGGTGTTTATATATCTCAACTTGTACGATTCGCTCGTGTATGTAACAACGTTTTAGATTTTAGCGAGAAAAATTTATGTATTACTGAAAAATTATTACACCAGGGTTTTCGATACCATAAACTAGTCAAAACATTTACTAAATTTTATCATCGGTATAAGAACATCATTCGTAAATATAACTCAACATGCAGATATCGTATACGTTCGGGTATTTCACATCCAATCGTTTATGATAATATCCTTTACAAAGCACAAAAATGTCAATATTCACCTCAAAAGCTAACAAAACCTTTAAACAGACTTATTAAGAAGGGATATAGTTACGATACTGTTGTCAGGTCATTAAAGATTGCATATTTTGGCTTTAATATTAATTCACTTATAGGGTCTTTGCATCGGAATTAAACACATTTATTCTAAAACCAGTTGTTGGCATGACACGGGTTATGTTCTTCTCATATATTTTATGACGGTATAATACAAAACCCCTAACAGGAGGGATTGTGCCTGATATTCATATGATGAAGACATAATATTTTAATCAGTTTGATTGAGGTCTGGAGCTGGCATGTCAGTAACTGCTAGTAGTCTGTTGTTATTTATGTATTATTGTCATTTTGTTTATTTTCTTTTGTTTCCTATTCTGACATCGGACTTGGACTTCTCGTATACTGAGTTTTACTGTACGTACTGTTGTGCGTTTGTTTTTTCTATATTGGCTAGAGGTATAGGGGGAGGGTTGAGATCTCAAAAAACATGTTTAACCCAGCCGCATTTTTGCGCCTGTCCCAAGTCAGGAGCCTCTGGTCTTTGTTGGTCTTGTATCATTTTTAATTTTAGTTTCCTGTGTATAACTTGGAGTTTAGTATGACGTCCATTATCACTGAACTAGTATACATATTTGTTTAGGGGCC